CTGCTCCCCACTCTGTCTCTGGTGAATCCTCTCACTGCCCCTGCACCTCTGGCCTGTACCCCAGTTCTGTATGCAAAATAAATAAATCTTTTTAAAAATGTCCAGTGTCATTTCAAGTTTTTTATAGTACTGAGCTCAAAACTCACAAAAGGGAATCTGTGGAAGAGAAAGTCCTTTTTCACCCCCATTCCCCAGTTCTTTGCCAAGGGACCACTACGGTTGTTTATCCTCCAGAGCTAATCTCCGATATTAAGCTTTACTTTCTCTCACACAAACAGTGGCACAGCACGTACACTCACTGTGGTGCCACACTTTCTTTTTAACACAATCTTGGATGTTTGTTCCTTATCAGCTCTTGTGAAACTGCCTCATTCTCATTAGTTACACAGTACTCCATTGTGTGATAAGATCCCGCTGTGTAAGGCCTGCGCACTGTCCCTTTTCAGTCTCTTGAAACTTCATGCTCTCTTGCACGTGCAAGCACGCAACCTGCCTTTGAAACCAACAGGTAGCGGCCAGGCCTCCTTGCTGTTGCTTCCTGGCAAACACAGCCATCTGTTTAGCCTGCTGGCAGCCACCACAGCCTCAGCCAAGAGAGGAGAGCAGGCCTTTCACATTGTGGGCATGGAATTTTTTTCTCAACCTGGAAGGGCACTCAAGCAACCTCCACCATCCAGTTAAAACAGCCTGAGGAGATGACAGAAAGACAAAGGCCTGATACGAACTGCAAATAGGGCCTCCACCCTCCACCTCAGATGCCCCTTGTTGCCCAGAAACGCACCAGGGCACAAGGACTTGTACCTCTATCACCCACAGGTGAGGCCTGCCTAATCCTGCCCGTTTCACTCCCAGGCTCCCTACCGCCTGGCCCTTGACCTCTCTGGGCCCTAATACAAATGGTCTGGTCCTTAGATGGTAGCCAACAGGTCTCACTGCCAGAGCTGTAAGTTCTGGAGTGCTCACGAGAAAAACGCCGGACCCTTTTGCTGATCTCCCTCCGGAAACCTTAGTGTTTGGACTGGCGGGAAGCTGAGCTGTTCCCGCAGCCTGTGGCCCTCTCTGTGCCCAGGCAAACAAGGATCCAGCCATTGTCAGCGTCCAGGCCTCTTGATGAGACAACACGTGTTTTTCTTGTCTTCAAGCAACACATCCCTGGTGGCCCAATGGGTTAAGCCGCAGCACTAGAAAGCGTGCACGCAGCCACTGATAGGGCTTGGGGTGCAGGAGGGCACCCTAAAGAGGCCAAGTCCTGCTGCCCAAATGCTGTACCGGTTACTGCCTGGGTTCTTCACCTGCGCACACAATCGCAAGACTACTCCCGCTCAGACAACACAACAAAGGGGTTTACTTAACAAACCCGGAAAAGCCAGAGTTACTGAGGCCAGTAATGGCTGACCCTACCCAAAGCCGTGTCCAGTCCTGTCCTGTCCTGCACAAAGACCGTTTGGATGATGGCGTCTCCCTGCCCGAGGATGGGCAGCCTCAGCCCCAACAACGGGCCGCTGTGGTCACCGGGCAGCAGACTAGGCCGGGGTCCGAATCACAGGCACAGCAAAGGATACAGGGGAAGCGCCCCGGGGCAGCCGACCGCCCCCAGCCCGGCACCAGACAGCTGTAGCGATGAACCACCCCACACGAGGCCACGCAGCCACGAGGCCACGCAGGCACGTGGCCACACTCACGCTCTTCGGCAGGACGTTGGCTTCGGGTCTCCGGCCCTCGCCGGGCCACGCTTCGGCGAGATGCACGTTTCTTGGGGGCTGCCCTTGTCCGCCAGGCCCGACAAAACCTTTCTAAAAGCGCTACTTGGACAAGGCCATACAGGATGGCCTGCCCGGGTGTCCTGCACCCACAAAACCCAGCTCCGTGAGGCCCTGATGCGGGCGCCCGGCCCCGGCCGCCGACCGAGGCCCGCTGCTGCGCCCTGGCCCGGCCTCCCTCTCCGGCGGCTGCGCGAGCTTCTCCCTCCAGGGCGGCTGCGCGGCTGTCTGAGTGCCTGGACCTGGACCTGCCTTGGGTACTTTTTTCATGACTCCACCCCACCTTTCGCACCTTTCTGGGGGCTCTGGTTTGTTGTTGTTTTACCAGCAAACCCCTCCAGGGGCACCACCCCTAACAATTTATGGAGTCAGCAAAACCCATCAGCAAAGGTATCAGGTCCCTGCCAGGGAGGTGACCCTCAGGGCGCAGCAGACCTCTCCTGCCTCTCCCCGTCCCCAACTGCCCCCTCAGCAGTGTATTTCAGTCCATCTGCCTGTTTTGCTCCCCACTTTGTTCTCCGGTGAATCTGCTCACCCCCTGTACCTCTGGCCTGTGCCCCAGTTCTTGTATGTATAAATGAATCTTAAAAACAAAATACAGGGCCCTCCCTGGTGGCACAGCGGGTTAAAGCACAGCACTAAGAAGCTAAACCCACATTAGCATGAGTTCAATCACAGCCCCGGAGGTGACCCACAGGGCGTGGCAGACCTCTCCTGCCGCACCTCCCCCCCAGCAGTGGACTTTGTAGATCTGCCTGTTCTGCTCCCCACTCTATCTCTGGTGAAGCCTCTCACCGCTCCTGCACCTCTGGCCTGTACCCCGGTTCTGTAGGCATAAATAAATAAATCTTTTTTAAAAATTAAAAAATAAAGCAACCTCTATCTACCTGTCTATCTCTCTATATATTTAGAAAGCATTAAAAAGTGCACAGAAGCAAAGACAGAGCCCATGGCCCCACCACTCAGAGAAGCCACTGTTAACACCGGTTGATTTTCTTTTAAACTCCCAGTCCTTGTTCAGACTCCCAGTCTGAAGTCAGCGACAGCAATATTGTGACTGCCAGGCTCTGTCCCCACTTACCTGTATTGGCTAGCCGAATCCCGTAACGAGTCACGGGCGTGGGTAGGCTTTAGCTCGGCTTTAGCTCAGCTTGGGACAGGACAAACCGTGGCTCACCCAGTTGGCTCACAGCTGTCAGTCCTGGGGAGCTGGGCTCTGAGCGGGCACCCATGTTCTCACATGTTCCAGAACCCCCAGAAGGAGCCCGTGCGTGTGAGAGGCCATGTAATAAACACTTGTTGGATGAAATTCGATTAGGCTGGGGAATTGAGGAAGGTGAAGTCGAAGCCGAAGTTGGTGGGCACAAAAGCAAACGCATCTGGGCTGAAAGTGCAGGCGGTGGGCGGAGGGGAAAAGACGCCCAGCTCTGGCACTCGAGTTCGCACTGTCACTGCTCGGCTCATGCAGCGGGAAGAGCAGGAGGTGCTCCTTTGCACGTGTGCCAGTGATGACAGAGACAGCCTGGCAGCATCCTTCGCGCAGATATAAACACAAGCTGGTGCTTCTCTCAGATGACTCACGCGCCCCAGTCACGCTCTTAGTTCCAGCAGCCTCAGCTAGCTGCCGAGGGTGGGCTGTGTTCCCAGAACCGGAGCCACTCTGTGTCTTTGATTCCCCTCCACAGTGCTTTCTGAGAGTGTTTCTAACTCTTCCTCGCCCATCAGCAAGCTGGCGAAGTTGCCCGTTAACCCCGCCTGAAAGAGTCACCCTGGCCACTCTGCTCTCCTGAAGTTCTGGTTTTGCAGACTCCAGGAGGTCCCCGTGGGTTCTGCCAGTGGACGGCAGACTCCAGGAGGTCCCCACTGCTCTAGTGCACCCTGAGGCTCATCCTTGCTCCCTGTCTCTCCCATTCATGGATTTCATGATCCAGAGGTCAACTAGCTGTTGTGAAGCTAAAGCCAGTGGCTAAGTGTCATCCCACTATGGACTTGTGTTTTTAAAAAATATTTATTTATTCATACAGAACCAAGGTACAAGCCAGAGGTGCAGGAGCAGTGACAGGATTCACCAAAGTCAGAGTGGGGAGCAGGACAGGCAGATCGACGAAGTCCACTGCTGAGGGGAGCAGCGGGTGCAGCAGGAGAGGTCTGCCGCGCCATGAGGGTCATCTCCAGGGCGGCGATTAAACTCGTGCTGAAGTGGCTTCAGCTTAGTGCTGTGCTT